GACACAGGTCACAGTGACACACCCCTTCCCTCATTCCACTCCCTCCAGCTAGGGAAGTAACAACTACTCACATCACCCCAAATGTAAAATTTCAATGTAATATATATACGCTTTGAGAAGGGAAGATAAGCCTACTTTGGATCGTGAATGGGAATAAAAGTGATCTGGTCCTCATATTACCTTAAGTTGGAACACACTGAAGCTCAAAACTATTGCTTTAAGCATTTAGGCCTAGTTCTGCCTCTCACTTTTGGTACTTTAGCAAGTCATTTATTCTTAGTGATCTTTTCAATAATGATGTTAAGACTGCTATTCTTTGTGCTTTGAACTTCACAAAACACAATGACCGGGGAGGTAATGAGGGTCATTTCTTGTCAAACAAGAAAACTGAGCTCAAAGATATGCCCCCAAATCCTAATGTGAAAAGCCAACACTAGGCACTAAAATTCAAAGCCTCTGGCTTCTATTTTAGTGTGCTCTACACAGGTTATGAGAAGCATGTTCTATAGACCATCTGCATGGCCGTCACCTGGGAATTGGTTAAGAATGCAGGATCTCTGACTCCACCTCAGACCTGCTCAGTGTGAACCTGCTGCTTAACAAGATGCCCAGGGATTCAGATATACTTTAAAGTCAGAGAAGAATTATACTTTAAGGACAGTTTAAGCCTTTGAGGTGCAAACATGAAAAGGTTTTACTTTTACTCCCTTCCCTGCCGTTAAATCTCCTCTGTCAAATCTCCCTTTCCTTTGAAGAGGTCACAGATCTGATAGGCTTTTAGTTACTTTCAGGTTTTTAAAAATGTAATATAGTCCATCTTTAAAAAGTTATTAGTAGGTACTGATGTCAAAGTATAAAGTTCTACACCTGAAACTTATGTATCTTATAAGATAGTGTTACTTCAACCAACTAACCAACATCAATACAAAAAGAGGCTTCAAACTCACGTGGAAATGAAAGTTGTCCTTTCCCCCCTTTTGCTTATTCGTCAACCTGTTCTTAAACCAAATATAGCACTTCCTAGCTCTGATTCTTGGTGATGTATCATGATGATGCTCATTTTTCAGAATAGCAATTTTAGTTACCCTCCCCCCTCAATCTTCAGTGAAACTCAGCAGTAAAAACTAAGCACACATGCCCAACATAAAACAAAGCATTTCAGTCTGTATCCATTGTATATTATCAAGTTGTTGGCCCAAGGATGACATACGGTTGTCTTTCACAAGAACCAAAGTTGATGAAGTGTGAGACTGTCCTTCATTAAAAGGAAGCATTTTTCAACATCTTCTTAATTTTTATTGAAATTTCTCAATCTTCTTTGGCAAGGAAGCCAAGAGTTACATTTACCAAGACCCAAATGACTGCCCTGGGTTATTCAAGATGAAATTCTGTTTTAGTCCCTGAGGGTTGTGTTCATTACAATTCCTGGGGGTTGTACATCCCCAGCACCAGCTATAGATTGTCCAACTCTTGTCTGCATCCCTAAAATGAAAGTTTCACTTTGGCTCTCCCACTGCCTCATCCTAATCTTGTTTGTTTTCATTTTATTATGACAAGAAAAGGCAGCTTTTGCCTTTATTTCTGGTTAGCCGACTTCATAAATATTCATTAGCAGCTTCCCTTTCCAGCAACTATTTTGTAATTTGTTATTTTTAAATGAAATCTGAAGTGAAAAATAACTCCCAATTCTCACTTTAATATGTTTGAGTTGTTAATCTTGATTTTGGATATTGTGAACCAGATAGGAGTGACTTTTGAAGACTGTTTGCCTAGGCTACATCATTCCAAGAAGGCACAGGTTGTGTGTGTGGGTGGTGTGAGTTTTGTATATGGTGTGACTTGTGACTCAGTGGGTGAGTCGATGGAGGAGGAGTGGAAGCAGCATTTCCAGAGCATTTTCAGAGTCTCTGTGCTCGCCTTTATGTCAGTTGTCTCCCCTTAACTCCATAAGGGCGTTGTGAGGCAGGTGTTATTTTCTACATTTCATAAGCCTGGAACCAAAATTTATGAAAGGTTAAAGATTTGCTCCAATTCACGAAGCAGATGATAACAGAACTTGTTGAAAAATGGGTGTTCTTTTTTTTTTTTTTTTCTGTAGAAATAGATATTTTTTTCTGAGAAAGTCGATGTTTTTTTTTTTCATGTTGGTTTATTAAGGCAAATCTTACTAACCCTGGGTCACTTGGAGTGGAGCCTGCTGTTTCTGCCCTCCCTTTACCCTGAGGCCCAGCGTTCACACTTAAACACCAGGCATTGACCCAGTATTTCTGTGAATTGCCCTCTTAGTTTTTTTCTTAATGAGTAATACTACCAAACCTACCATTGGAAAGCGCTTCTATCCCTTTTAAAGAAAGTTCTGCATGGCAAAAATGCATTCCTTCACTCACTTCTCTGGAAAACAAAACAGATGCAGCTTTTGGGAGACCCTGCAGGGCTCAACAGCATGCAATTAGCAGTTTCCACTACCCCCTTCCGTCTCCCAGCTTTCCTGTGTCAGTAGGAAACTCACACTCCCATTTAAGAACTGTTTTTTTCCTAAACTTGACAGTGAGTCAGCTAATCTGTTTCTTGATTGTTGCATAAAATTCCCTCTGTGTCTCCTTATTTAGCTTGGTGGCTGTGGACAGAGGACCCCACCTTGGTACATTTCTGCCTGGGATAGGGGTGGGATTTCCCTGAAGCCACATAAATCTTTTGAGGTGCTTGTTAAGACCAGCCCAAAGCAACTCTTTCTCAGCCTCTTATAATTTTTGCTGAAATTTAAAACACTATTTGCCTTTGGAAACAAAATGAAGGCCCATTTTTGGAACCCAGTAACACTCATAGTTGTCTTTTTATTTGCCAGGCAAGATGTAATTAGACTTCCTATGCAATTTACCACGTGACTTAGGATATGTGATTAAGAAAAAAAAAAAAAAAGCCAAGGGCAAGAGTATTTTTAAATAATGTTTTTTTCCCTGAGTGTAAAAGTAATACATATTCATTGCATATAATTTAGAAAATGGAGAAAAATGTGAAGAAGAGAATAAAATAACACAGACAAAATGATGATTAACTTTTCAATACACATTTCTGATTTAATTCGCATACAGCTATACTCATGATGTATTTAGCTATTTGCAAAGCATTTTTAATACCGTTAGTCTCTGGAGTATTGATGCAACCATTTTTCTCCTTTCCAATTCTTTTTATTTTTAGAATGGAATATTACATACTTGAAAGTGAGAGGGAGAGTAATGCAGGTACAGGAGCATTTGTGTGAAAACACAGTACCTAGATTCTGGTCTTGGCTCTGCCATTTGCTAGCTGAAACCTTGGTAATGTTACTTAATCTTGCTGTGCCTCAGTTTTTCCATAAATGAAATGGGGATAAAATAGTACTTATGTCCTTTATAGTGGTATTGTTAGAATAAAACAGGAAAGTGTTAACTGTTATTATTTAAAAAAGATATAAGATAAAAATATAACATAAAAATAAAAACAAACACAACCAAGATGGGAAATAAAACTATTATTTTCTTTGTGTTTTAGTCCTTGATTATATTCCTTTTCTTCATCTTAGAGGTAAATATTACACCAAATGATTGTTTAGCTTTACATATTTTGAACCTTATATAACTAATGTCATACTAATTTTCAATTAGCATTGTTTATGAAATTGATTCAAGGTGATTTTTTTCAATGACAGTGGTATATACCATATTTTTAATCCCTGGGTTTGTTGTTTTTATATTGTCTGTGATTACAAGCAGTGCACTCAGGACATTCTTACGCACTTCTCTTGGTATTCGACATGCAAAATTTGTTGCTTTTTTTTTTATGTTTTAAGGATCTAATTGCTGAGTAGTGGTATGTGGGCATCTTTGACTTTACTAGTAATGGAGACTTATTCTTTTTTAATAATTAAATTTACTTATTTATTTTTCTTACATCATTGTTGATTTTTGGATAGTATTTGATATATGGTGTAGTCCCCGTAGGTCTCCCATCGCCACAGCATGGTGTGATCCATCCCTCCATGATCTATCACCGTGGCCCCCTGTGCTCTTCCCTCCTGTTTTAACTCCTTCCCCCACCCCTCCCCTGTTGTATGTCTCAGATCTATTGTCAGCTTGCAAGTTTTGTCTTTTTCCTGACTCTTTGTTTGCTTTCTCTGTATAAATGAAACTATCTGATATTTATCTTTTTCCTTCTGACTTATTTCACTGAGCATAATCCCAGCTCCATCCATGTTGCTGCAAATAGCATGTGTTAATCTTTTTTGATCACTGAATAGTATTCCATTATATATATATATACCACATCTTGATCCACTATTTGCTTTGGGGCATTTAGGTTGTTTCCATATCTTAGCTATTGTAGATAGTGCTGCAATACTAATTCCTTTTGAATTAGTGTTCTTGTATTCTTGGGTAGATTCCTAGGAGTAGAATCACTGATCACATATTTGATCCATTTCTAGTGTTTTGAAGATTCTCCACACAGCTTTCCATAGTGGCTGAACCAGTAATAATGGAGAAGTATTTTCTAAAATGGTTGTACTGGGCCTCCCCTGGTGGCTCATGTTGAGCGCTGGGCTGCAAAGCTGCCTGCAGCCTCTGCAGCTCTGGTTCCATCCCCGGCCAGCAGCGAGGGTCCCACATGGTGCGAAGACCTCTCCTGCCATGCCCGCTGCTCCCTTCAGCTGTGTATTTCATCAGTCTGCCTGTTCTGTTCCCCGCTCTGGCTCTGGTGAATTCTGTCACCCTCCCGCGCTTCTGACTGTACCCAGTGCTTGTATGTATAAATAAATAAATCTTTAAAAAATTAATAAAATGGTTGTACTCATATGTATACTTAAACCAGGATAATTATAAGAGATGAAACATCTGTAAGCAATTTAACTTTTGCTGTGTGGCGATGATAGTTCTTTGATTGTTTTTAAGATATTCTCTTCTCATTGGAAAACTGTAGTTTTATTATAATATGCCTACGTGGTAATTATTATTTTTCCTTCCTAGCAAATGTCATGGTTCCTGTGTCATTGAACTTATGTTTTCTGTCAGTCCTGGAAAAATCACAGGTATTACTTTTTTGAACATTGCCTCCTCCTTCTTTCTTTCTGCCTGTGCTGATATAGATCATTTATTTAGTTCTATGGTCTTTTTAATATACTGCCTTTATTTGTGTCTAATATGATGGTTATCACATAAACTTTAAACATTTTAAATTTAAGAATTTATATTACATTTTCATAAGTTTTGTTGTTTTGCCAATCTGCCTAATATTTTATGCTTTTGTGATTTGAAAACATTTTAATTGTGATAAAATACACATAAAACTTTATTATCTTAACCATATATAAGTATATCGTTTACTTAAACACACTGAAATTGTTTGCAACTGTGTGTGAACACTTTTATCTTTGCAAAATTGAAACTCTATACCCATGAAACACTCCATATTTTCCCCTCTCCTCTAGCCTTTGGCAACCGCCATTTCATTTTCTTCTGTCCTATGAATTTGACTAGGTTAGCTATCTCAAGTAAGCTGAATCATACAATATTTATCTTTTTGTGACTGGTTTATTTCACTTAGCATGTTGTTCTCCCCGTACATTCTTGATGTACCTTGTGTTAGGATTTCCTTCCTTTTTAAAGATTGTATGATCAGGTGCTAAATGTTCCTTTGTGGTTTTTTTTTACTGTGCTTGTGTTTTTAAACATTTCAGATAAAATATTTTTCAGCAGAATCTGATAATTATGCCAGTTGAAGTTCTTGGGCATCAAGATTTATTATTGTCTATTGATTTTTCCATGTGGTAGCTCATTCCCCTAACTGTTCAGTTCTATTATTTATGAGGTTACAATAGAATGAACTTATGTAGTGTTATTTTGCTGGAAATGGAAATCCTGAGCATTTAAAATGCTACCAATTCTGAACTGTGTTAGGAACTGTATTGCTGTGATGTTGGTCAGCAAAGAGGGAGGGTGGCACTCCTGCTTTGGGGTGGACTGCAGAGAAACAGGATTCTGATTTGTGCAAAAGCTTTTCTGATTGATTGAGTCTCTAGGAATGATGGCTAGGTCATAATAGCACTGTGATACTCCTGGGATTGCTTTAGTTTCTGAAATAGCTTCATTTTCTTAATTTTGATCTTTTCCATTCTTAACTACACTATCCAGTCTGAAATTAATAATTTACCAAAGGAAATTCAACATTCTCATTGTGGCTATTTATAGTCAGGTTTGTTGACACTCATCTCTGATGTCTTTTAATTATCCTTTTCATATGCCTTTCTAGTCACAAGATTGTAAACCAGGTTCCTGAGTGTGAAACTGGTACAGCTGCTCTAGGATTTGTTTTGTTTGCTAAGTAACTTTTTTTTGGTATTGTTTTGGAGCTCCCTTATGCTCAAATTTTCTGTTTTGAGAATATGCTCTGCTGATACTTACAGACTGTATGTTCTATTCTCTTTCCATTAATGTTGGTCTACTAACTGTCTTCAGTGCCACTGATAGTGTTAGTAAGATAGTCTACAAACTATCACTTGTGAAATTTCCTAGTCACATTATTTTGGAAAGAATAACTTGAGTAGTTTTTATATAACTATTGATTTAAGAGATTCTAGGAAGAAGTGGGAAGGATCTCTTACCAGCTTTCCAATGTTGCTATTCCATAACATTCATCTTTAACTGGACCTCAACTGAGAAAGAAGTAGAAAAAGAAAATAGCTTAAGAAAATAAGGCAGAAGTTTCCCAGCATGGCATACATGTGCTCTTGGTAGATTCAGGCTGCCCAAAGATTTTAAAGAGGACAGAACAGGTGTCCTACCTCTTAAGCAGTAGCTTCATGTACTTGGTTTTTTTCTCAGGAGGGGAACAGGAGCCGTCTCATACTCACCCTACACATAATGGAGATTAAGAACTAAAACCAGGGCCTCCCCGGTGGCGCAGTGGTTGAGCGCTGGGTTGCGAAGCTGCCCTCAGCCTCTGCAGTGCCGGTTCGATCCCCGGCTGCTCCCCGGACACCGGAGGAGGGTCCCACATGGCGCGCAGACCTCTCCTGTTGTGCCCGCTGCTCCCCTCAGCAGTGTGCTTCGGTCCTTCTGCCTGTTCTGCTCCCCGCTCTGGCTCTGGTGAATTCTCTCACCCTCCCGCGCTTCTGACTGTACCCAGTGCTTGTATAAATAAATAAATAAATCTTAAAAAAAAAAAATTAAAAACAGATGCCAACATTTAAAAAAAAAAAAAAAGAACTAAAACCATAATGTCTCTACATCCACTTTCTCAAGCAGTGTACAGGAAAATACCCCATTTTTCCCTTTCTTCACGGCCTTCTCCTGACTCCCCCATTAAGACATTATTATGACCAATAGATCTAGCATTCAACAGCTAAGTAAAATGGATTCTCATAACTTAGGTTTGCTTAAGACCTCTCAGTTTCTGCAAAAAGAAGAAAATCTGAATATTCCTTGGTTTTACTTTTTAATCTGAAAAAACATGTTTAGTCTTCATAGGAGGCCATAGGTCATTTCTCTTACTCTCTCTCACATAAGTCTATAGTCTGTGACAGATTTCTCTGTTTTTTTAAAAGAATTCCTGTGAATAACATCAGTGCATGAAAATCAAGCAAATCTTTGGAGACTGATGTAAGCAGACGCTGGTTGGTGAAATATCATTAGTATGATTGCATGTACATATGAATTCTACAAGGTGTGAAAAAGTAGTTATGAAAGATGTTATATTTTAAGCCTGGAAATGTGGGTGGATTGCCATCTTGAGTAGATTTAAAATTAACCACAGTCTTGAGGCTTTCGCTTGTATGTATAATGTAGGAGATGTATTACAGAAATAGACAGAGCAAATGTTGGGTTTCTACCCATTTGCGTTTGCTGCCACTTAGAAACATAGTTATTTATTATAATGTCAAGAAAAAGGTGGCTAATGAATGAAATATTTGACTATCTGGAAAATGTTATGATTTTATTAATGTTTGTAGAAGTGGTATAAAGCCTGCTGTTTCATTTTCCTAGGACGCTTTGACAAAGTAGCCTTCTGATATTTTTTTATTTACTCTCATCAAAATAATTTTATTGCCATTTGTTGGAAGGGATACTTACCTGCTATCTGATTCTCTGGTTTTATTTCTGAGGATTTGAAATACAGGGCATAGCAAGTGAGATGAAAAGAAAGTTTTCCAAGTATTTGGTGATGTACTTTAACCACAGATTGTCTGGAACAGCTTTAACTTGGAACTTTGGAAAACACTGACTCAAGTGTGGTGTTCCCCAAGTTTATAGTACTATGTCTGTTGAATTCCTTTCCAATAATTATTTGCACTGTATCTTTAGGGCACATTCAGATGATTTTATGTTATAAAAATAATGGTAAGGCTTAAAGAAATATGATTGAGTTTCTCCCCAATCTAGGAAATAGTCAGCCACCAGAATGAATGATTATATTTCTAAATATTTTAAGACAGCTGGAATAAATTTTTTAATCTTAACAATCTATTAAGAATTCTTTTAAACTTAGTTTTCATTACTATAAAATTGTCAAGTAAGGTTGACTATTTTGTTTATCAGGTAACATTTTCTCCAGGTGATGCTAAAAATAAAATTCCATAATTGAGAAAATGATATAATTCCTTTCAAAATTTGTTTTTCCTACACAACTAAAACATATGGTCTCAAAGGGTAAATTTAATACAAATCTGTATGTTAAAGCTTATCAACAAATTGATATTTTATTTTAAGAAAGGAGGTTAATTGATATGGTGGAATTAAAAGATGGATAATTTGCTCTGATGAACATTTTAGGTGAGGCACGATAGCATCTTATTGTCAGGACTTCTTAACCTACTAAGGGAAGAAATACTTGACATAAGTAAACTTACCTGCAATTCAGGAAAGAAAAAACCCCTATAACCATGGTATAAGCAATTAAACATCTATTTAGGAAGATAAGAAAAATAATGGACTAGTAGTATATATTGATTTTTCTGTAAGAACAGAATTTAATTAAATCAATTTAAAATTTTTGTTATTTTTAAAGGAAAATGCTTTCAAAGATTTTTCAGTGGGTTATAGTTCATAAAGTACTTCAGAATTTAAAATTTTATTATCAGTATATTCTGTATAATATTTTGATAAACCTACTTATGTAAATAATCAAAAATTTTCACTGATATCATAAAATTGTATTTGTGAGCATACACGTTTATAAATTTGTTTAGCAATTACAACCTTATGAATATAAAGTTACTCAGATAATTCGAATTAATTGGAATAGGCTTATAGCCTTTGAAAGTTCTAGAACTTGTTTACATGAATTATATTATAAATGTGATCAGTTAAATAATTACAGATGAAATTATATTGTCTGTACTGCAGTCTTCTGTTTTTATAGTGAAGAATCTTTGTCTTCACATAGGGGAAATATTGAACACTATTTTTTAATCATTTTGATGTGTTTAAAGTAAAGCCCAGAACAGTACTAAACTGTCCGTTAAATGTCCTTTTTTATTGATTACAGTACAATTTAATGTTTGGATTTAGAACATTTCCTGGGGCAGGTCATATTTCTTACACTGAGAGTTATCCTGTGTGAAAAGTGTAGCTATAAATTTTGCCAGTTTTTTTAACACTCCTGTGCCTTTTGGAGAATGAATCTTTCAGAATCACATGGATTCTCATGGTATTTGCTCTGCTTTGCACTTGTTTTTTTTTCCTAGTTTGAGGAATCTGTTCAGTGGCATGTTTGTTAGATCAGCTGGGCCTCCTCACTGCAATGAATACAAAGTCATGCAAACAGATGGAGAAATTTAATTTTTAGTTAGGAAAGGGTTCCTTAGCAACCTCTTAGTGAAATATATGTCTGGTCACATTAACTGGGCTACTGTTGTAAACCAAACATACATGAAGTGTGACCTGAAGAGGGACATTTAGAATATATGCTTGTCATCTCTAGCCTTAAAATCATTCCTCTTTTTCGAGAGTATTTTTTACTCCGTATTTTCAGAAATTGTATGTGTGTGTGTGGTGTGTGTGGTGTGTTTGTACTTAGCAAGTCAGATGGCTT